TCACACCCCTCTGGGTTTTCTTCTATTTTCTTTCTAGTTCTTGTTTATTTCCTCTTACCTCCATGGGGAAGTGGAACAGAAATCTTCCTCCGTAAGCCATGCGCGTTGCAAGAGGCGACTAAAATGCCGGGAGCAAGGGGCTAGTAACCTCTTCTCCTGTATATATTACTAAATGTAAAAGGAGAAACTTTCATTTTTCCTTTTGGGCCACCCCGCCTCGGTGGGATACGGCCGGTGTATTGAAAGAAGAATTTTTATGTTCTGATAATTACAATTCATAGTAGTTCTTGTGATTTCATAGCCAAGCTTTGTTCTGACATTAATATTAGGTACTGAAATTGTACTCAAATTGTCACAAACACACTGATAGGTCAACATTTACACCTGCCTTGGTAATTTACTATTGTCTAGGAATATATACAAAGTATTTATAGGTCCCAGCAATGTTTTAGACATGCTGGAGTACATATGAAACTCCTTGAAGCATGGTGTTATGACGAGTGTCAGTAAACTGCAGTGGAGTGACACGATCGTGCACTGCTGCATGCAACCCTGGTTTTGTTCGTTTTCACTGTTACACACAAACATGTCTCTCTCTGTCCATCTAGCTATGTCTGTTTATCTGTCTTTCTGTCTGCCTGTGTGTGTCTGTCTTTCTGTCTGCCTGTGTCTGTCTGCCTGTGTGTCAGTCTCTGTCTGCTAGTCTCTCATCTCAGAGAGTGACTCATGAACTAACTGGTATTACACATGATCATGTCTGATTCCTGAACAAATGAAAATGCGTATTACTTGCCAGTTGCCAGTCATGTTTATTATGCATTATATTATCTACAAGCACAATATAGCACTGTATGGATTTTTTGGGTTATCCTAGGTAATTTACACTATGTATAATTGTATTTATGTATGTGTACATGTGAGATAGAGACAAAGAGATAGACAGACAGATAGATACACAGACAGACAGAGATAGAGACAGCCAATTAGCCAGCCAGCCAGCCAGCCAGCTAGCCAGCCAGCCTGCTGGACACTTATTACACGTTCCAGAAATGTTTCTTTTTACTTAGATGACACTACCAGTAGTACCAAAATTGAAAGGGTGTTGCACAAATGTTGCACATAGGTTATTATCAAGGTTTTTTATATTTCTGCGACCACTTGTGGCCACATCCACCTCAAAGCCACTAAACGCGGAGTCAACATCACTTTCCTCTTAAAGGAGTGTTAATACAACATGACATCAGTGAATCCTTGGTGTTTGCCATGCTGTTTGCTCTAGCTGGCACTCTATTGAACTGGTGCTCCCACAAGGTACTAAGTGGTCCCAGATTGTTTTAATACTGCACACATTGAGTGTTAAGAGCCATTCTATGCTGACAAGGCATATCAGGCAAATCATGCCAAATTTGGAGGCAGGAAAAATAAAATGTAGATCTACGTTTGGAGCGCTAGCGGTAAAAACGTAGAACTATGTTTGGACAGTTAACGGGTTCAAGATGAGATGAACCCTAGAAAAGATGAGGGAAAAATTGGTGGGAGATGCACTGAGGCATCTGTGGAGACAAAGAACTATGTCCATGGAGGTAAACAGGGGACTGTACCAGAGTATACTGGTACTAACACTGTTATATGTGGATATGAAGCATGAGTTTTAAACACTACAGCAAAGAGAAGGCCGGAAGCAGTGGAGATATCACATTTGAGGACAATTTTTCTTTTTCAACAAACCGGCAGTATCCCACCAAGGCAGGGTGACCCAAAAAGAAAAATTAATATTTCTCTTTTTAAATTTAGCAATGTATACAGGAGAAGGGGTTATTAGCCCCTTGCTCCTGGAATGTTAGTCGCCTCTTACAACATGCATGGCTTATGGACAAAGAATTCTGTTCCATTTCCCCAGGGAGATAAGAGAAAATAAAGAACAAGAACTATTAAGAAAATAGAAGAAAACCCAGATGGCTATGTATATATATGCGTGTACATCCATGTGTAGTGTGACCTGAGTGTAAGCAAAAGCAGCAAGATATATGTACCTGGTATCCCAGGTGTTTATGAGGCAGAAAAAAAAAAGACACCAGCAATCCTACCACCATGTGAAACAATTACAGGTTTCCATTTCACACTCAACTGGTAGGATGGTAGTACATGTACCTCCCTGGGTGGTTGTTAAGGACAATGTATGGTGTGAATATTATGCAAAGAATTCAGAATATGGAGATTTACAGACATTGCAAGGGTTGCCAAACTTATAATTCAGAGGGCTGAAGAGGGGTTGTTGAGGTAGTTTGAGTATTTAGAATGCACTCCAACCGAGATGATCAGAAACTGACTTGACGAACTTGTCAGGACCTCTTGAAGACAGTCAGGAATTTTTAATTCCTCTAATGAATGGAAAGTGTTTTAAAGTCCCTTAGCCTTTTTTCATACTTGGTGATTTCCAAGTGCAGATTTCGGATCAACATCACCAAAATTTTCCAGGTGTCGAGTATGAGGAATCTTTCTTGCCTGTGTTCTAGTATTTCAGATGTTTGACTGAATTTACACAAACAGTAATATTTTTTTTTTTTTTTTTCAACAAGTCGGCCGTGTCCCACCGAGGCAGGGTGACCCAAAAAAGAAAGAAAATCCCCAAAAAGAAAATACTTTCATCATCATTCAACACTTTCACCACACTCACACATTATCACTGTTTTTGCAGAGGTGCTCAGAATACAACAGTTTAGAAGCATATACGTATAAAGATACATAACATATCCCTCCAAACTGCCAATATCCCAAACCCCTCCTTTAAAGTGCAGGCACTGTACTTCCCATTTCCAGGACTCAAGTCTGACTATATGAAAATAACCGGTTTCCCTGAATCCCTTCACTAAATATTACCCTGCTCACACTCCAACAGATCGTCAGGTCCCAAGTATCATTCGTCTCCATTCACTCCTATCTAACACGCTCACACACACTTGCTGGAAGTCCAAGCCCCTCACCCACAAAACCTCCTTTACCCCCTCTCTCCAACCCTTTCGAGGACGACCCCTACCCCTCCTTCCTTCCCCTATAGATTTATATGCTTTCCATGTCATTCTACTTTGATCCATTCTCTCTAAATGACTAAACCACCTCAACAACCCCTCTTCTGCCCTCTGACTAATGCTTTTATTAACTCCACACCTTCTCCTAATTTCCACACTCCGAATTTTCTGCATAATATTTACACCACACATTGCCCTTAGACAGGACATCTCCACTGCCTCCAACCGTCTCCTCGCTGCTGCATTTACCACCCAAGCTTCACATCCATATAAGAGTGTTGGTACCACTATACTTTCATACATTCCCTTCTTTGCCTCCATAGATAGAGTTTTTTGACTCCACATATACCTCTCTATTTTTTCCAGCTCTGCAATTTCTCCTGCCCTAAAAGGGGCCAACAGTATACAGCAGTATCTCAGCCCAGAGAGAGCAAGTGACGAAGAGAATCCTCATTGGCTCAACATCTCGTTTTGAATATTCTAGTTATCAAGTCTATCATTTTCTTTGTCACTGCATTCATTCATTCATTAGAGGTTCGCCGGTACTTCCGGCCCGGGTCTTCTTTGTCACTGCAATAACAACACTGTTGTGATCCTTGAGTATGAGATCTTCTGACACTGTCATTCCCAAAACTCCTCTGCTGAACTTCTCCTCTATTAAATTATTTAAGTTTGTCTTGTACTCCTTATCAGTTTTTAATTCCTCTTGTTTTCTATGACAGTAAATGAAATTTATCATCACTGAACATAATATTGTTGCCAGTGGCATACTGGAAGCTTGGGTTTATATCTGTTTGAAGGTTCACCATGTCTTCAATGGACATCACTCTCATATAAATTCAAATATCAACAGCAAAAGGATGACATGGTGTTATGATTCATGTCCCTGTCTATATCAGATATAGGAGTGAGAAAGACAAGTGGGGTTTGTACATGCCTTAAGGAACCAAACTTATCACTGTGGCATCCTCCACATTCACTCTATTTGTTACACTATTACTCCCTGGGTTATATTTGCAAAAAAAAAAAAAAAAAAAAAAAAAAAAAAAATTAACTATCCAACCTGCCCACTTTTCCAGTTATTTATTTTACCAACAATTTTTGTGCTATTACACCATGGTCACAACTACTGTTCCTTGAGGAACAAAGCTTATCAATGTGGCATCCTCCACATTCACTCTATTTGTTACACTATTACTCCCTGGGTTATATTTGCAAAAAAAAAAAAAAAAAATTAACTATCCAATCTGCCCACTTTTCCAGTTATTTATTTTACCAACAATTTTTGTGCTATTACACCATGGTCACAACTACTGTTCCTTGAGGAACAAAGCTTATCAATGTGGCATCCTCCTACATTTTACTCTATTTTTGTTACACTATTTCCCTGGTTAATATTTGCAAAAAAAAATTACTATCCATCTACCCCTTTTCCAGTTTTATTTTCCAACAACTTTGTGCTATTACACTGTGGTCACAACTGCTGAAGCATTTTTCTAAGTTGGTGTACATTGAATCTACATTTTGCTTGTTTTCTGGTGCATCCAAGACCATGTCAAAATGAACTAACAATTGCAAAAAGGAAGGAGTACCTGTGCTACCCCGGGTTGTGCAACTGCTGTGATTCCATGCGTTGGTAATCTTGCTTTTTAAAACCCCTTCGATGATTTTTGTCTGACACTAGAACTATCGGTCTATAGTTTTTTTTCAAATGATTTACTGCCACCTTTGTGGAGTAGAATTATTCAGACTTTTAATAACTATGGATGACACCTGGTCTAAGCCTTCCATAGATATTTGAAGACAAAGAGATAATGATTTCTTGCAATTCTTGATGAATATGGAGTTCCATGAGTCAGAGCCTGGGAAAACATTCATAGGCATGCTATTAATTTTGCATGGCAAAATTAAGATTTTATAAAAAATGCCAACACTTTGTTACCAACTTGCTAATGCTATACGACAACTTACCTCCGCCTCCTTTATTTTGAGAGTCCAGCGATCAGAGCAGTGATTTTCAACACTAATGCCACAATTTTTCATTGACTGAATTTTCTGAAGCCATCATCGGGAGACCTCTGTAATGGTCTAAAAGCTCTGTACATCTGACCACATTTTTCTTAGTAACTGTAGTGGTCAAAGAGACAACCAAGAATTATTTGGAGTTATTATATTTTGCAGAATATATTATAACAGGACACTGAATCAACCGTAGAGAGCAATACCCAAGTGTCACACAGGTGATTATCCTTAAAAAAAAAAATAAGATAGGAACTGGAGTGATGAAAAATAGGAATAAAGCAGATTTTTTACAGCAAAAAAAGTCGAGACTGGAAATTATATTTTTTTGATTGCCTCCCAACAGCCTTTACAGACAACCCAATCCACTACAAATACAAATATTTATTTCTTTATGCAGTACAAAATAGTGTAGCTTACACGTAATAAAACACGGGTAGGCACAATAGAAAGCCACTAGTATGCAATGCATACTAAAGTCTTTCAAGTACAGTAGGGTCTCACTTACATGGCAGGTTAGGTTCCAGGCTACCACCATAAAGTGGAAATCGCCGTAAAGTGGAACACCCTTTTTTCCACTTATAAATGCATATTGGTTTAGAAAGACACGTAAGCAAACACTATGACATATTTATTAGAAAACGTTTCGGTCCTGGGACCTTGATCACTTCTAACATACAGAGGCAGAAAGACATTATATATACAGCAGGGCCCCGCTTTACGGCGTTCCGCTAATACGGTCATTTCAAATCATGACCAAAACTCGCTATACGGCTCCCCCCACCTGACTTTCTAAAACGGTCACCGCGCCCCACCTTGTTTGTTTACATTCTTCGTGAGCTCAGTAAGCACTAAGTCTCTCCATTTTGTCTGGAAACTCCAAAATTTCAAATATTTTTAAAAGTTATTTCATATTTTATGTATACTCTGATAATTATACTTATGTATACCTGTACTTAAATAAATCATACTGTGCTGGCGTGCAGGTACAAATTCAAATCATAAGAGTGTTTATCTCCAGGCGTTCATATTAAAAGATAATAATAATCTTTCGAGTCTCATTTAAATTTGCCTATATACGTTAAATACACATTTTCTATAATCCTCTATGATATTTTTTCAAAAATTTATATAAACAGATACATCGAACATAAAAAGATGATAAATACACCTACAATGAAAAATAAACATAATATGAGATGTGGTAGCAGACGACTTGCACAATGACGCCATATTAAAGAACGCTAATAATAATAATAATAATCACCGAGTCTCATTAAATGTTTATATTACATTAATATACACATTTTCATTAATCCATCCACGATTTTTTTTCAAATTATATAATAAACACGATACATAACATAAACAGATGATAAATACACCCTACAATAGAATAAAAAACACATAAATATGAGATTGGTAGCCAGATAACTTGTACAAGTGGGGCCAAGAATAACATTTCTCTAATCTAACATAAGAGAAAAATGTGTTACTTGGGGGTAACTGTAGAAAATTATTCCTTTCGTATGTATGTAAGTAAGTTTATTCAGGTATACACAAATACAGTTACATAGATTATCATACATAACAACATATGTGTAGAGAACCTAGGATAAACCAAAAAAGTCAGAGTGACTTATTTCCATTGCCTTCACTCAGAGCATCATTTCTTCTCAAAATGAAGTTACATGAGAATGGGAGTGTTCTTCTTTATTTATTCTACCGTATCAATGTAGAGACAACCTGTACACAATGTAACTTGTACACAAACCAGACGTGTATACTTTGTTTACAAAACTTACCTTCGCCTGGTTTGTTTACATAACTCTGCGCCTGTCCTCTCTCATGCACTCATTCTCTCTCTCATTTATTCGCTTTATCTCATTTACTTACTCCTGACCCTACATTAAGACTACAAATATTTTAAGGTAAGTAATGAGTGAACTGTATATACATTTTATCGCTCTGGGATGCTTAAATGTAATAGAATATTATGTGTAGGTGGGTTGGCCTGGTATGGTAGCCCGGCTGACTACCATACATACCACACTTGATTTTTTACAATAAATACTACTCATCTCACCCTATATTTTAAGGTAAGTAATGAGTGAACTGTATATACATTTTATCGCTCTGGGATGCTTAAATATCATAGAATTGTATGTGTGGGTGGGGTGGCCTGGTATGGTAGCCTGGCTGACTACCATACATACCACACTTGATTTCTTACAATAAATACTACTTGTCTCACCCTAGATTAAGACTATAAATATTTTAAGGTAAGTAATGAGTGCACTATGTGTGTATTGTACTTTTTTATTGTTTTTTGATGCCTGGTTCTATTGCTAACTTAATATATGTTAGTGTAAACTTGTTATCTAGTGTTTGTATGCATTTGTAAGTGGAAAAAAAGGGGGTGTTCCACTTTACGGCGGTTTCCGCTTTACGGCGGTAGCCTGGAACCTAACCAGCCGTATAAGTGGGGCCTTCCTGTATAGGCAGAGAGTGAGGTATGAGTGACGCACGTGACCTGAGGAATGTCATGTTGTGATGAGGACGGGTAGACGATGAAATCATGTGACTCCTGTGTTGTTGGGTTGGTGGTGCTTAAGTATCATGTATGCCAATGTTTACAAAATTTTTTAGTTTCCGGTGTTGCATTCTCTAGTGTCGGTGATGGCGATTAGTGAGGCTTCTAGGCACCATCGGCGTCTGAGGTCTGGTTCGGTGAGAACGAGTTGTGCCTCATTCCAGTTCATCAAATGCCCCGTGGAGTCTCTGTGGAGGACACAGGCGTACCTTACATCGTCTCTGTTAGAGGCATTTCAATGCTCATTCAGGCAGACTGCAAGATCTCTGCCTGTCTCGCCTACATATTTCTTGGGACAGAACCCACAGGGGATAGTGTAGACGCCTGCTGTAGAAGTTAGAGGTGTGGGGCTGCGTTTCGTAGTGAGGTCTTTCATAGATGATGTGTTTATGGTGGAAACATTGATGTTACTCATAGCAAGTGCCCGGCGAGTATTCGTGGCAACATCACCACATGGGAGTACTATGAACTGCTTAGGGGGCTGTTCCATGGGCGGTTTGTTGAGGATAGCTTGTGCCTTGAGTCTGCAATCTCGGATGAAGAAAGATGGGAACTGAAGACAAGTAAAGGCTTGTGTTATGTAAGTACATTCTTCTTCTAGAAAACAAGGGCTGGAGATGCGAAGAGCTCTCAAGAAGAAGATGCTGGCAGTCGTAGAGGTGAAGTGCAGGTGTTTGCTGCCAATGACATCATGGCATTTCGGTGGCATGACAAACGTGATGTCACACTGCTGACGTCAGTTCACCGACACGAAATGGTAGACACTGGCAAGCAGAATAGAGAGACCAATGAACCCATTGTAAAACCTGCAGCTGTGATGGATTACAACCTCAATATGCGCTTAGTGGACAAATGTGACATGCAGATTGGGTTTGCTGACTGTGTTCGCAAGAGGTACAAGTGGTACATAAAACTGTTTTTCCATCTTCTTGACATTTCCATGCTGAATGCTTATAATATGTATATAAGTTGAAGACCAAGAAGAAACCCAAATATGGTGAATTTTGTTTGTCAGTCATCAGACAAATAATATTCAAGTACCAAGAAACAACACCTGCAATAGACCAGCGCCCACGAAATTATCAACACATGTCCTCTCGTCTGAGGCCTGGTGATCACTACCCCATACCACTGCCTGCTACTACTGCCAAGAAAAATGCTCAGAAGAGGTGTTTTGTCTGTGGACATACCACAAAACGCCCACAAAAACGCAGAGACACTCGTTTTATGTGTTAGGAGTGTAAGACACCATTGTGCTTATACCCATGTTTCAAAGAATTCCACAAGCTGCAGCACTTCTAGAAAAGTGTCCAGTGATTGTACATATGTATATATTATAAAAACAATCGTAATAAACATTTGTTTACATTGTTTGTTTGTGTAAACAAGTTTTAGCAACATTATAATGATACGAGTGTTTTTGCTATAATTGTGTTACATTCAACGAGTGTATATTTGAACATTGCACAATAATTTGGTCTCACGGGCCACAAAAGTTATGTGAAAAAAATAAAATAGTGAAAAAAACAAGAAACCATCGAATACAAGTAAATCAAAGTTTACCGGGTGAGCAGCAGTCACCACTGTTGCCGCTCGCAGATCAATTTCAGCAAACTTCAGGACTCTATATCTCGGTAAGTACTGATGGGAAATTTTTTTGGGGGGGACTAAAACAATCATAAAAATAATCTTAACATTTTCATAAGAAAATTTTTTTTTTTTTTTTTCGAATATTTTGCGACACCAGGAGACACTTCAGGATTGGGCCCTTCGACAGTCAAAGGGTTAAATTTTAAGAACAGTTATTTGGATTCAATATTGCACTGGTAGTTATACTAGAGGTTATTTGGCAGTACAAGGTATTTAAGAGTACTCTAAGATAGTAAATGTGGTATTAAAACAGGTTATGGTAATTAGACAAGTAATGGTAATTAAATGATGTCAAAAATGTTAAGAGTAAATTGTACTGATAATAAAAATGGTAATTAATTATTAATTTTAGTAAATAATATCAAATAATAGTACAGTGGACCCCCGGTTAACGATATTTTTTCACTCCATAAGTATGTTCAGGTGCCAGTACTGACCGAATTTGTTCCCATAAGGAATATTGTGAAGTAGATTAGTCCATTTCAGACCCCCAAACATACACGTACAAACGCACTTACATAAATACACTTACATAATTGGTCGCATTCGGAGGTAATCGTTATGCGGGGGTCCACTGTATTTAAAAAAATATGAGGTAGTAATATGGACAGAGAAAGTATCAATTCAGCTAATATTTAAGCAAACAATAGTAAACAAGAAAATTACATAAGGTGACTTATGCTTACTAGTAAAATCACAAAATGAGGTAGTTGATTATTTAATTACTAAGAGATTGTACTATGAAATTTGAACAATAATGGAGCAAAACACTACACTACACTACGTAGGCTTTTAGGTTGGACATTGTTTAGTTATTCTCTGTAAGATTAGTATCCCTGAGAAATCGTGATAGATCATTCTCGTT